TCACAGTACAAGTATATAACCCTTCATCGGTCCTGTTAAGATTGTCGATGGTCAAAGTAGAGGTGGCTCGTCCCACAGCACTTGAATTGGTGATTGTTCTTCTGCCACCATTTGTAAAGATATTGCCATCTTTTGTCCATGTCACAGTTGTTAATGGTTTTCCTTCGTATTCGCAGCTTAACGTAACACTCTGACCTTCGTTCCTTGTTTCACTGCGAGGTGGCGTGAAAATTCTTGCGTTATCTGGGAACACAACAAATTTCCGTACTTAATGAATAAAAACTTTAAGATGAAGAGAATACGATGGCACAGTTGTTTGGAAATCTACAACGATACTATTTGTCTAATAAATCAATACTTAAACTGGATTTTGACAGTATTCGTTCAAGAAAGATATCCTAATAGTACCTTTTAGCTAGGTCGCAGTTTCGAAATATTTTGAGTCCAAAAGTCAAACTTACAGTTAACAGTCAAGTATGCAATTGTCGACACCACAGTACCAACTGCATTCTTCACAGTACAAGTATATAACCCTTCATCGTTCCTGAAAAGATTGTCGATTGTCAAAATAGAGGTGGCTCGTCCAACAGTACTTGGATTAGTGATTGTTGTTCTGTCACCATCTGCTATGACGTCGCCACCTTTTGTCCATGTCACAGTATTTAATGGTCTTCCATCGTAATTGCAGCTGAATGTAACACTCTGACTTTCGTTCCTTGTTTCATTGACAGGAAGAGTGAAAATCTTTGGTTGATCTGGGAAAATAAATTTTACATATTTTATGACAACTATAATTACTATAGAAAACTGAAATATGCAGTCAGCAAAAACCTAAACAAACAGACTCTAACCCTATGTCAGCAGCAATAGTAAAATGAATTCATCGTACTATTTGGTGCTTTCAAAAATAACAATACTGAACAAAAGCAAACTTACAGTTAACAGTCAAATATCCAGTGTGACAATGTGACAGTCAGCAAATACCCAAACAAACAGACTCTAGTACTATTATGTTAGCAGCAATAGTAAAATGCATTCATCGTACTAACGTCCTATAGCTTTGCTGCTTTCAAAAATGACAATAGTAAAAAAGTTAAACTTACAGTTAACACTCAAGTATCCAGTGTYCATAGGAGACGTCACATTTCCAACTGCATTCTTTACAGTACAAGTATATAACCCTTCATCGGTCCTGTTAAGATTGGTGATGGTCAAAGTAGAGGTGGCTCGTCCAACAGCACTTGCCTTGCTAATCGTTATTCTACTAGCATTTGTTATGGTTTCGCCATCTTTTGTCCATGYCACAGTTGTTAATGGTTTTCCTTCGTATTCACAGCTTAACATAACACTCTGACTTTCGTTCCTTGTTTCATTGACAGGGTGAATGAAAATCTTTGGGTCATCTGCGAATAGAAAATGAAGTCAATATCCAAATAATTAATTCATCATTTTTTGAAATAAAATGCGCATGTAGTAAAAAGATGTCATACGGCATGCTTTGGTTTTATTGTTCCAAAAGTGACGTAACACCAGCATTTCAACTTACAGTTGATCGTCAAGTATCCAGTGCTTGAAGGAGATACCACAGTACCAAGTGTATTGYTCACAGTACAAGTATATAACCCTTCATCGGTCCTGTTAAGATTGTCGATGGTCAAAGTAGAGGTGGCTCGTCCCACAGCACTTGAATTGGTGATTGTTCTTCTGCCACCATTTGTAAAGATATTGCCATCTTTTGTCCATGTCACAGTTGTTAATGGTTTTCCTTCGTATTCGCAGCTTAACGTAACACTCTGACCTTCGTTCCTTGTTTCACTGCGAGGTGGCGTGAAAATTCTTGCGTTATCTGGGAACACAACAAATTTCCGTACTTAATGAATAAAAACTTTAAGATGAAGAGAATACGATGGCACAGTTGTTTGGAAATCTACAACGATACTATTTGTCTAATAAATCAATACTTAAACTGGATTTTGACAGTATTCGTTCAAGAAAGATATCCTAATAGTACCTTTTAGCTAGGTCGCAGTTTCGAAATATTTTGAGTCCAAAAGTCAAACTTACAGTTAACAGTCAAGTATGCAATTGTCGACACCACAGTACCAACTGCATTCTTCACAGTACAAGTATATAACCCTTCATCGTTCCTGAAAAGATTGTCGATTGTCAAAATAGAGGTGGCTCGTCCAACAGTACTTGGATTAGTGATTGTTGTTCTGTCACCATCTGCTATGACGTCGCCACCTTTTGTCCATGTCACAGTATTTAATGGTCTTCCATCGTAATTGCAGCTGAATGTAACACTCTGACTTTCGTTCCTTGTTTCATTGAGAGGAAGAGTGAAAATCTTTGGTTGATCTGGGAAAATAAATTTTACATATTTCATGACAACTATAATTACTATAGAAAACTGAAATATGCAGTCAGCAAAAACCCAAACAAACAGACTCTAGCACTATGTCAGCAGCAATAGTAAAATGTATTCATCGTACTATTGTCCTATAGCTTTGGTGCTTTCAAAAATGACAATAGTACAAAAGTTAAACTTACAGTTAACTGTCAAGTATCCAGTGTTCAAAGGAGATACCACAGTACCAACTTCATTTTTCACAGTACAAGTATTATATACTTACTGAATAAAAACTTTAAAGATCAAGAGAATACGATTGCACAGTTGTTTGGAAATCTACAACGATACTATTTGTCTAATAAATCAATACTTAAACTGAATTTTGACAGTATTCGTTCAAGAAAGATATCCTAATAGTACCTTTTAGCTAGGTCGCAGTTTCGAAATATTTTGAGTGCAAAAGTCAAACTTACAGTTAACAGTCAAGTGTGCAATTGTCGACACCACAGTACCAACTGCATTCTTCACAGTACAAGTATATAACCCTTCATCGGTCCTGTTAAGATTTTCGATGGTCAAAGTAGAGGTGGCTCGTCCAACAGTACTTGGATTGGTGATTGTTCTTCTGCCACCATTTGTAATGACATCACCGTCTTTAGTCCATGTCACAGTTGCTAATGGTTTTCCTTCGTACTCGCAGCTTAACATAACACTCTGACTTTCGTTCCTTGTTTCATTGCGAGGATTTTTGAAGATGCGCGAGCGATCTGTGAAAACAAATTTCCGTAACATAGAAGATTAAAAAATAGTACAACGATCGATATTTGATATTTGTGAGCATCTCTTGTCTGTTTGGTAGGATTGAAGCTGGAACGGGAGGAAGGGTATTTCGAGGTTTAGCTATTTTCACATAAGGTATGAGCCTAATCAGTACGCGAGCATTTACTGGTATTCTTGTTTTCAAGGAATATTTTGTAACGTAATAATGTAAGTCAGTGTGCTGAGTAAACGTTTTCCTGCTTAACTTACAGTTTATAGTCAAGTATCCACGGCTCGACAGACTTGATACATTATTACCAACGCTGTTATCTACTGTACAAGAATATAACCCTTCATCGGTCCTGTTAAGATTGGTGATGGTCAAAGTAGAGGTGGCTCGTCCTACAGCACTTGGATTAGTGATTGTTCTTCTACCGCCATTTGCTATGACCTCGTTACCTTTTTTCCATGTCACAGTTGTTAATGGTTTTCCTTCGTATTCGCAACTGAACACAACGCTCTGACTTTCGTTCCTTGTTTCATTGAGTGGATGAGTGATAATCTTTGGGCCATCTATGATATTTTAGGATAAACATTAGTGAAATCAAAATTTATCTTCATTGCTTCTTTGAAAGATAAATTGTGGAACTGTGTCGTTCCGCCCAAGAGTAGAAAGAAGAGCAGAAATGAAGAGAGACACCTGCAGAAAAGGCTAGTGAAGACTATTACTTTTTAGTCCAAAAATTCAATTTATGCTATTAAATGTAGTAACCTGGAAAATGACACTACAAATACTTACAGTTAACAATTAAGTGTCCAGCATCAGGAGAAGATACATTTGTACCATTTGTATTGTTTACTGTGCATCTATATGTCCCTTCATCATCCCTTTTGAGATCGCTGATGGACAAAGTAGAGTTGTATTGTCCCCCACCTTTGGAGGTGGTATTTATTTTGATATTATTGTTGGACAATTGTGCTCCATCTTTTGTCCAAGTTACAGTTGGTGGTGGATTTCCCTCGTACTCACACCACAATGTAACGCTCTGTCCTTCATTTCTGGTTTCATTACTTGGATTGGTGCGGATCTTAGCGCCATCTAGGAATACATAGAGGATATTACATGGGCGCGCGAAGATACGGATTTTATCTTCGAGTGTTGAAAAGATCTCTTACAAGTGAGCTTAGCGAACGAGTGAGAGATTTTCAACACGAGAAGATAAAATTTGTATCTCCAAGCGACCATGTAATATTCTGTTTATCATATAATTAAATATGAAAGCAAATTATGTCGGAAAATAGCTTTTTTCTTACTTCCACTATATAGAGAAACCTTGAATGTGTTATTTTCACTAGTGAAAATAACATGCTATTTTCACTAGTGAAAATATCAATTTTTCGTAATGGAGAAATATAGGTATTTTATAGATTTATTTTTATTATATGATAAATTAAAATATTCAACCCTTTCAAATTCTGCAATAAATAATTTTGACAACTATATGTACTATATAGTTCGATAAGCAAGTTTCCCTAGTTTTCCTGTGAGCATGAGTGCAGTGTTGAATTAGCTTCTTAACTTGACACAGATGAATATTATTTTGAAATAACTGTATTCTTGTAAAAGCCACATGTATTCAATCCATATGCTGTTAGTATATCGAAACCCAAACACAGTAACATGCATTATCACACAATTTTGAATGAAATACATACAATATTTTTTTAAAGAATTCAAAATGGGAGTTCAAGAAATCCTCAATGTATCACTGCTAGGTGCTATGAAATAGTTTGAGAGCATTATCAGATTTTAGTAAACTAATATTGCCAATGTTTCGTTGTTGATGCTGATATTCTATTTCCCACTCAGTCATCATGCTGGTCTGCTGTAATAAACCAGTTTTCATCGACCTTCCCTCATTGCCTAAAATATTCATCTTTTCTTATTAGATAAAATTCTGATCCATTTTAAATGAAAAGTCATCACAAAGTATTTACGAATGATTTGACTTGTCAATCAGGTACTTATAGAAGGTACTAGATGATGAAAAAACCTGATTCATTATCCTGTAGCATACAACTTGAATTTTCAATTTTGATATAATAATGGCAGTTTCTGTTGAGTACACATTGGGTTGAAAAAATATTAGAAAGATTTCACTTGTCAGTCAAACTGAGACAGGAAATTTGGATGATGAAAAAGGTG